CTGCTGAACTTCATACTGCAGAGTGTAAAGTTGTGTGGCATAAATATGTTTAAAGAGCTGTAAAATTAACCTAAGTGAGCAAATTCTGTTGTATGTATTTAAAGTTAGTCAAGTAACTGCATGTATGTGCTCAAAATGTCTGTATTCAAATCAGATGGCTGTGTACCCTTTGCAGTCAGCACAGGGAGATAGGCACTTCATGAGGGTGATTCACCTCTTCCTGACATGGACATCTGTATAAAGATCATGTGAAATATGTCCTAAATTGCCTTCTAAATCCACTGAAGCTCTATGGCACCCACAGCATCCTGTGGCACGTATTTTCATAATTAATTGTGAAATAATTTCCAGTTCTGGGCTCCTCAGTTCAAGAGAGACATGCACGTACTGGATAGAGTCCAGTGAAGGGCTACAAAGATGATGACAAGACTGGAGTGTCTCTTCTGTGACGAAAGCCTGAGAGAGCTGGGACTGTTCAGCCTGAAGCAGAGAAGGCTCAGGGGGATCTTATCAATGTATATAAATACCTGTAGGGAGAGTGCAAAGAGGACAGGTTCTTTTCGGCAGTGCCCAGTGGCAGGACCAGAGGCAATGGGCACAATCTCTAACACCAGAGGTTCCCCCTGAACATCAGGAAATAATTTTTACTGTGAGGGTGACTGAGCACTGGCACAGGTTGCCCAGCGAGGTTGTGGAGTCTCCATCCATGGAGGTACTCAAAAGCCATCTAGGCATGGTCCTGGGCAACTGACTCTAGGTGTCCCTGCTTGAGCAGAGGGGTTGGACAAGGTGACCTCTAGAGGTCCCTTCCAACCTCAGCCATTCTGGGATTTTGTGATTCCTTTGGCTTTTCCAATTCTTATATTATGAGAGACAGCATTCACATTCCCTGTGCCACTAACAATTCTGTAGACCTCCATGATAACTTTTTTTTGGTCACTTTTGAATGGAGATCAGATGGAGCAGAACTGAACATAGTACTGAAAATAAAAGGTGCCGTGGATGCATACTGTAGCAGGTAGTTTATATAAATATACAGTGTATGTAGATAAGTCCTGCTTTTCTTCTTGGTTTCTTTGCTAACAATTTTAAACACTTGGCTGATGTTTTCCTAAAGCAGACTATCAAAACTTGAAGATCTGTTTTTCTTCTGGGTGGTAATCGTTGATTTAGCATCTGTTACTGTGCAGATAACCTTTTTTCTATACGTGCATAGCTTTACCTCTAGCAACACTGAATTCTATCTGTCAGTCTGTTAGTCACTAGCTGTCATGAGATCCCTCTGTACCTCTTTATAGTTGACCTTTGTTTTTATTAAATTGCTCTGAAAACAGTTTATGTTCATCATAGCAAATGTTATGGTTTCACATTTCTTTCTTCTCCCCTATAGATTGAAGAGCTTGAACCCCAGTATAGATTTTCTTCGTAGGATCATTCTGGTGACCTTTTTCAACTGCAAAACTAACTGCTGCTTCTTTTGTTTCCTATTCTAAAATGATTATTGTCTGTGAGAGAGCTTTACATTTATCTAATGGCAGATTAATTTCTTTTAGAGCCTTGGTGGAGAGACCTTGTCAAGACCAATCAGAAATGCAAAAGTTACCTTTGCTGGCTTATTGTTTATAGAGCTCTAAAAGATACTGCCCTGGGGATCTAATTTTCTGTACTCCATGATTTTAAATCCAGAATTATTTGTTGAATTTATGCTCTTTTGCAGTCCCTGCAGAATGCTACAGATTCCTTCCCTCTTCGGTGTTCTTGGTTTGTGGAGTCATAAACCTCAGTGGAACTTTGGGTGAGATTTTCAAGTTCATTGCTAAAATTCTTGCTTATTTATCCTGGAAAGCTGTGTTAACCTTTCTGCTGTTGGTTACAGATTTTATTCTAACAAATATATTAAAGACAACTAGTAAAGGAAAGGTTTATAAAGACCAAAGAAAGAAAAGTTTTGGCTTCTGTATATGCTCTCACTTGTAATTAACATTGAGGCTTTCTCTAGAAGAGTTACTGTAAAATAAAAATGAAAGGGAGAGAATGGAGAGAAAAGGAAAATGTAGAATAAAGTTAACAGAATTTGTTATTTTTGCAAAATTTCAACATATGTACTTAATATACTCTTGCTGAGTTTAAGAATCTTCAAAATATAATAGGATAATATAGAAGATTATGACATTCCCTCCCATTCAAACAGGAAGACCTCTAGAAAGTGGAATTTGTATGACTCTGTATTGGGTTTGCATGGCAAGGTTTTGGTATTGGGGGGGCTACAGGGGTGGCTTCTGTGAGAAGCCACTAGAAGCTTCCCCTGTGTTCGATGGAATCAATGCCAGCTGGCTCCAAGATGGATCTGCCGCTGGCCAAGGCCGAGCCCATCAGCAGTGGTGGTAGCGCCTCTGGGATAATGTATTTAAGATGGTAAAAAGTTACTGCACAACAGCAATGGCAGCTAGAGAGAGGAGTGAGAATATGGGAGAGAAACAGCCCTGCAGACACCTGTGCTGGAGCAGGCTCCTGGCAGGACCTGCAGACCCGTGGAGAGAGGAGCCCATGCTGGAGCAGTCTGTGCCTGAAGGACTGCAGCCCGTGGAAGGGACCCGCGCTGGAGCAGTTCATGAAGAACTGCAGCCTGTGGGAAGGACTCACATCAGAGAAGTTTGTGGAGGGAGGACTGTCTTCTGTGGGAGGAACCCCACGCAGGGGAAGAGTGTGAGGAATCCTGCCCCTGAGGAGGAAGGATTAGCAGAGACAATGTGTGATAAACTGACCGCAACCCCCACTCCTTGTCCCTCTGTGCTGCTCAGGTGGAGGAGGTGGAGAATTTGGGAGTAAAGTTCAGCCTGGGAAGGAGGGAGGGGTGGAGGAAGGTGTTTTAAGGTTTGGTTTTATTTCTCATTGTTCTACTCTGATTTGATTGGTAATAAATTAAGCTAATTTCCCCAAGTCATGTCTAGTTTTGCCTGTGATGGTAACTGGTGAGTGATCTCTCCCTGTCCTTATCTCAACCCACGAGCCTTTTGTTCTATTTTCTCTCCCCTGCCCAGATGAGGAGGGGAGTGATAGAGTGGCTTTGGTGGGCACCTGGCATCCAGCCAGAGTCAACCCACCACAGACTCAGTGAAATTAAAATGTTTATAATAATATCCCTTCATGATACCATTGAAAATTAAAGGAGATAGAGAGGTTAATAATTTGTCTTAGAAAAAATGCTGAAGGTGATGCGGCCCTGGAAATCATCTAGCAATATTGAGCTTGCAGATAGGAAGGGAATAGCTTTGCTATGGAATGAGAGGAGTGGGTCATAGTGCTGACTGATGTTCCTTGATGAATCCTTGGCAGTAGCCTGAATAGGCTTGCTTTTGGATCACTAGAAGTCCAAACTGGAGACATAGGTTAGACTTTGTTGTCTTACATTTCATTTCTTTGTTAGTGAAGTATTATCCAGGGAAGAGTAAACTTTTGATCCTCCACAAAGCATGTGGTCCTTGTGTAAATTCGTAAAAACATTCCTTCCTCCCTTCACATTTGCCCAATGTTGATACCAAACAGAACCTGCATAAACACTGCTGGCAGCATTTGTGTTACCAAACATAAGCTTCTTGAGTTAGTAGCACAAGCTTGTCACCATGTGCAGAGATGGATTGCCCTCTGAAGATGCCTGTATCCCTCTTCTGACTAAAAATGTGAAAACAGCCTGAAGTGACTACTACAGTCATCCAGAATGAATGAGGTGAATCCCACTTCATGTTTCTGGCTATGGTGATCTCTTTTTTTTAAAAGGGCATAGAATCCTCCTGGTTTCCAGCTTGATCAGATGCCGGAGTGCTCTGGGAACATTTAATTTAATAGTGCCAGATAGAGGGGAGGAGTTCTATGAAGAGCTGGCACTGAAAAGGGGAGATAACTCTCAACTCCTTTGCGTTTTATTTGTCTGTAAGAACAGTACATGTAATATTACAATATATGTAATAATAGTACAAGACAGTACACCTAAACTATAAAAGGAAGTGTTGCATTGTATCAGCATAACAATGAGGGAGGGAGTTCAGGAGAATATTTAAGGATTAGATTTACAAGGAAAAAGAGGGCACATGTGGTTAAATTATACGGGATACCAAGATAAGTTAACGAAGACATGTCTAGACCAGTGAAAGCGGGAAAGCTTGCTGCAGGAGGAAGGGCTGTAGCAACTGAAGAAGGGTTAGTTTCCCGCACCTTGATATGAGTCGGTCACTAAATGAACCAAATTGAGAAATACTTTAATCCTGTAGACAAGTTATTTAATAATTAATAACAGGTTAAGATGTTTTACATATTTTTCCTGAGGCATCTGCTGCTGCTGACTGACACGGAACCAGGGATTCTTTATTATGTAGGACAGCTCAGATGGGTAGACTTCTCAGTGCTTACCAAACAGGCAGATAGGCGATACTGATACTTTTTAAGCTATTTGGAAATGTTATTAAGATTTCCAGCTGTAGGCAATTTCAAAATAAAATCACAAAGTTTATTTAAAAATTATGGGATTTAAATGAAGATACTGATTTGATTTATTCACTCTAAATCAGTAAAGTTTGTGTTTGAAAACCAAAGTTTTCTAATCCTTGTTATAGTATTAAAAAAGCTTGGTGAGTGAGAGTATTGTACAGTATCGACAAGACTACAGGAGCAGGATCTATAAGAAAAAGACCAAATATTAGAGACTGCTGTGACTGGTGCTTAAGTAAATAGTGTCGACCTAAAGTATAAATATGTATGAAGGATCCTTTCGTCATTAAGGAAAGCGGAGCAATTGTTTGGTTCCCGTTGGTTTTGGAGAGTCTTACTTTGTTTCTTCAAATTTCTTTCTTCTTTTTCAGATGGAAATACTGATATGAATTTAAGAACTTTGATGCTTTCAGACGTTGAATTTTGATTTGTTAAATAACTGGGAATAAAATACTGCCTGAACAAGATGAAATGCCTTGAAGACCTTCGGTTGTGCTTTAATTTCTCCTGAAGCAATGGTTTTCTCAGCAATGTTGACGCTGGCCCACTCTGGGACCTCAAATGCTACTTTTATTGTTTATGAAAATGCCTATACGAATTTTACCACTCCCCAGTTCTTGCTTCATAGTGGCACAACCCAGCCATTGAGATATAGTTCAGGTGCCATGCTCACCACTGAGAGAAGTACTTTTCTGGTAAATGCTACAGCTATCCTGCCATCGCAAGAAGTTTTCAGGAGCCTGAGTTTGCCACTCCAGATCATTCTTTCTGCTGCTATGATATTTATCCTGTTGGTTTCTTTCCTTGGAAACTTTGTTGTCTGCCTCATGGTCTACCAGAAGGCAGCTATGCGATCTGCAATTAACATCCTCTTAGCAAGCCTGGCTTTTGCAGACATGCTGCTGGCAGTGCTGAACATGCCTTTTGCTCTGATAACAATCATTACCACTCAGTGGATTTTTGGGGATATATTCTGCAGAGTCTCTGCCATGTTCTTCTGGGTTTTTGTCATAGAGGGGGTAGCCATTCTTCTTATTATTAGTATTGACCGATTTCTTATCATAGTTCAGAGGCAAGATAAACTGAACCCTTACCGTGCAAAGATTCTCATTGTGATTTCCTGGGCAGCATCCTTTGTTGTTGCTTTTCCGTTATCAGTAGGGAATCCTAATCTGCAGATACCCTCAAGAGCACCTCAGTGTGTTTTTGGCTACTCTACAAGCCCAGGTTACCGAGCCTACGTGATAGTTGTCTTGCTAATTTCTTTTTTTATTCCATTCTTGGTAATGCTGTATTCTTTTATGGGCATACTCAACACCGTCCGCCACAATGCGGTTCGTATCCATAGCCACCCTGATAGCATATGCCTCAGCCAGGCCAGCAAACTTGGTCTCATGAGCTTACAGAGACCTTTTCAGATGAATATTGATATGAGCTTTAAAACTCGTGCCTTCACAACCATCTTGATTTTGTTCCTTGTCTTCATAGTCTGTTGGGCACCCTTCACCACTTACAGCCTTATAGCCACATTCAACAGCCACTTCTACTACAAGCACAACTTTTTTGAGATAAGCACTTGGCTCCTTTGGCTCTGCTACCTCAAGTCTGCACTGAACCCACTGATTTACTACTGGAGGATTAAGAAGTTTCATGATGCATGCTTGGACTTGATGCCCAAATACTTCAAGTTTTTGCCACAGCTACCCGGCCATACAAGGCGGCGCATTCGACCCAGTGCCATCTATGTGTGTGGGGAGCATCGGTCGGTAGTGTGAACTTGCGGTTGTTTGACAACAATTGTTATTTTCTGGGATTATTTGTTTTTAGGCTTTAGGTTGAATTTTTTGTTTTGTTTAATATGGCTTTTTCAGTGTGGCCATACCTTATAACTTGATTAAATTTTCCAGTACTCGGTGCAATTTGGGGAGGAAAGATAGAGGGAGGGAAAGTGATTGGTTATAGTTGGGTTTACTACCAGAATACAATGTAAACAAAATAACAAATGTTACCTCTAGGATTCCATGGAAATCCATTCTTTTAAATGAAAACTACATTTGTAACGTTTTGTCAGGTTTATGCTTACTAGGCCTGCAATTGCATTTAATTGTAGGGACTTTTTATGCTGCTAAGATACAGTATATTTAGTTGGTGTAACTCTTCTGAAAAATGTTGCTGCTGTCTGCCAATATATTAGAGCCAAAAAGTCTCATTAGATATATTTAATTTTAACAATATTTCAGAAGTTTTCATGGTAACACTAGAAAACTTTTTCCTTTTTGTTAGTATTTCCATTAATATTTTGTGCACTTTACAAAATTTACTATAGAATTTGTTCATTGGAATATTTTGTTCTGTATTGAGGGGGTATTATTTTATTATTATTAGTTATATTGGTGAATTTCAGTGAAAGACCCATGTAAGCTCTAGGAGGGCAATTTATGTTGGTATAGCTACATGTACAGTCATAGATTTGCTGTTTTTCTAACAATTGATCAAAAGTAACATTAACTGCTCAGTTATAAGGGGAGTTGGAAGGAGAAAATGGAGGAATGAAAGGGAAAGAAAGCAATGAAAATACCATGTCCTGAGGTTTAGGCTAACACAATATTTAGAAAAACAGAGCACATGTGAAAATGGTCATGGGAGAAAGGATAGCTGTAGTTGTTACTCTAGGCTGTTACAAGCTATCCAAACCCTATGGTATACCTGAAAACCTATCTGAAATTGTGACTTTGGGCCTACAGTTTATACTGTGTTGGTATGATATAGTGCTCTTTCTGCTTGGAGCTTGTATAAGGCTAGCTGTGCTCCACACTGCTGAAATCATGCTGTCAGACATTCGTTGGGATAGAATTAGAAATAGTAGGGTGAACCAGCAAACAAATAGCACATGAATCGTAGTTGAGGCTAGGACTTAGTTTACATAGTAATTACAGGGAAAAAAGTCCTCAACTTGCTTGTTTTCCAGTTTTAGACCAAAACCATAAACTGATAATCATAGAATCACAGAATGGTTTGGGTTGGAAGGGACCTTAAAGATCCCCTAGTTCCAACCCCCCCGCCATGGGCAGGGACATCTTCCACTGGACCAGGTTGCTCAAAGGCCCATCCAACCTGCCCTTGAACACTGCCAGGGATGGGGCATCCACAACCTCTCTGGACAACCTGTTCCAGTGCCTCACCACCCTCACAGGGAAGAACTTCTTCCTTACATCTAATCTACATCTACCCTCTTTCAGTTTAAAGCCATTACCCTTTATAATAGTTGGCCAGCAGAGTTTGCTGGGATGTCAGTTAAATTCCTTTTCCCTCTGATGCTACTTTACATTGATTTTTCGTTGCCTCTTTTCCGCAATAGTGCCTGCTGCCTCAAGAGTTTGCTCTGCTGTTCTCATCTGTGAAGCATCAGCTTTTCTCCCTGAAATGCCAAATCACCTTTCTGATTAATATCAGGCTGTCTCAGTACCTGCCTGGAAAGCAGAAGGTCAAAGGTTTTCCTTGATGATAGCAATCCAGACTCAGCTATTTTATTTTAATCAGCTAAATAAATATTTAATGTGAAGTAAGTAAAATTAAGACTTAGGTTTGGGCTTTGAAGCGAGATCCCCAGTTGCTCTGAGGCTGGGGAAGAATGCCTGCAGAATTTGCATGTTCTTGCAGTGGGCTTTTTGGGGCTGTCTGTGGCTGAGCACAGGAGGATTAACATACAACAAACTTACCAACCAGGGCTAGGGTTTGGGCTTCTCTTGCTTCCATCTCTCTTTCAGTACCCCAAAGCATGGAGACCTCTTCATTGTTCTTGTACCCAAGGAGAAAATAATAGCAATTTTATCTATTTCTATCTATCCACACAGTATAGAACTTTTCCTTCCTACACATATTCATGTGTAGGAAGGAAATGCCATGTTCTGTGTGGATGTCCAGGGACTGCTTGCTTCCTGAGGCCAGCTAAACATTTACACGCCAGATTTTATTTAGGTCTTCAGTGAAGAACTAGTTTAAGAGTTATCTCTGTTCTTCTCATTGACAACTATCGGTAAAAGTGTTGGGAATATTTAAATTTTAGGAGTATAAAAGGAACAATTTTGAATTTAGTAATTTCATTTTTTTTTAAAAAAGCTGCTAGCTGAGGTTGTGGGTTACACGTAAAGGCACCTAGGCAGTGGTGATGTTATTGATGTCCATGCTTTCCATTTCTTGTCAACTTCACTGATGATGGTACAGATTTTTTGAATCAAAATGACAGGCAGTAAAGGAATTCAGCTGTAAAACAGAGTGTTTTAGAGTATCTTTGCAGTATAGCTTTTATTTCTCAATTACATTTACATTGATAGTGGAAGTTTATGACCTGGTTAGTATGGATTTTCTGTTTCAGAGCTGTCATGCCTGCTTATCTCTGAAAGCTGCAAAATTGTGCTTAAAGCTAATGTAATAGAGTGAGAGCATACACTGTCTAAGATGGCAGGAACAGGTATTTTTGCTGTCTTCCAGAGCTATAATGTAAGAGGTTTGAATGAATGTCGTAAAACATGGTAATTCAAAAAGGAAAGATGATGAGTAATACAGGAAAGTTAGTGAAATTACTTTCTTGAAGCGGGGGAGGGGAAAACATTTTATGGAGGTTTCATAACCTCTGATAAGTACTGGCTGTGAAGTAGAAATTACGAACATCAAAGAAAGTTAATTTGCCTTGATAATTTAGTGTTTGTTTACATTGACTGTAACAGAGTTTCCACTCAGAGCTGATACTTGGAGAAAAGAAACCCAAACTGTGTGGCCCAAATTCACAGTTGACCTACATGGTGGTACAGTATTCACACTTACCAGGTTTTAGCGGTGATCAGAGCATACAGTGAACAAAAGGGTGTTCAAAAAAAGAAACAAGGTTGCATAGAAGTAATTACGTGTTTACAGACCATTTGGGCTATTATGTCTAATATACTGTCTTTAGAGCAGTGCCTTGATAATTACAGCTGAAGTCGAAGGACCAAGTTGGAGACCGCTAAACTGCTCAGTCTTGCTGTCTGTAATCCTGCCAAGATCAGCATAACCTTGCTAACATTTGTAATATTAAAATGCATATGTGTTGGCAGGATCGGGGCTACTGAGGCATTTTAGTGGGCTTGACCTTGACCAAGACCAAGGATTTTAAAAACTGAAATTGATCCTTCTTGACTCTACTGAGGAATTATAATTTTCTTCCTCTCCAGAAATGATACTCGTTACTAAACTGTATTCCCTCATGTTACATTTTCAGAAACCTTTGGTATGGAGGAGTGAAATGAATGTATTTTGAATTATGTTGCAGTTTAATTCATTCTGTCAAAGCATGCTGCTTACACAAGTCTCATTTGTACAAATCTATTGCTAAAATGATTCTTTTGTACTCAAAGTTGTGTATTTTTGACATTTCTTGTTACTCATGTAAAAATATTTATGTATATAGAGAAGAAAATTGTTTTGCCTCTTATTGCTTTCTGTTACTATTTTTTCCCTTGTATGCTTAATGCTTTCATATTTTCTTTTATTTGAGCATATGCATAAACAACTGCAAGATTTCAGTGGTCTTTCTGCAACTGTTTGAGACTTTTAATTCTCAAATCATTCAACAATACCCTCTTTGAAAGAGATTTTGATTTATTTTTGTGTGAAAAATAAAAATTCAGAGCACAAGTTTATTGCGGTTGGAATGGTGAGGAATTTCTTAAGTCCAGTTTTCCAGGAGCCACTACTTTGCCATTATGAACTGGTTTGATCGTTTTTTGAGGAGTAGTCATTTTCTGATGTGGAGAAACCTTGAATTACTGTTTTAAAACAAGCTGTTAAGTAGAATGGCATTGTCTTTTCTGTACATATTATACCTGTGAAAATACCTGAGGGGAAAAAAAAAAAAAGAAAAAATAAACATGAAGATTCTACAAATATATAGCAAAAGTCTATAGGATTGCTCTATCTTTCTGCATTTACAGGTTTCTTTAATGCCCAACTTCATAGTTTCAAACACTTTATTTTATCTGTATATTAAATAACAAAGATTGTTTGCCTGATTTAGATGGTTTTGTTTAAGCCAAAATGTTTCTTGTCTAAAGAACTTACAGAATGCTCTTTTCTGAGGCATTGGGGTAGAGATGTGTCAATATATCTAAAACAAATAAAATAATATCCAGCAGAAGAGAGAGAAAGCCTAAAAAGAAAATAACTTTCCTAAAAATACTACCTGAACTGGATGTACTACCCTTAAGCTAGGACTGAGTGATTAAGATCATCTTATTATGCAGTAAATAAAACAGGCAGTGGTGCTGCATGGCATCATTCATTTCAACACAAGACAGTGACCTTTATGATTCAGGTGCTCCATGTTTGTATGTGATGGATTATTCTCCATATTAGTAGAATGAAAAATGTTCCGCATCTTGGCTGTTTTGGGGAAATTTTTTGAGCTTACTAATGATGTAGCAGCTACTCTGCTGGAGTAATTTCTCTAAATGGTAGAGAGTCAAGGCATGTCCCTAAAGAATGCCTGAGAGGGGATGGGTATTTCCAGTTGCTTGGGAATGGCCTTGCTCGGCTGCCCACATGCCTAATTTTAAGACTCCTTCGCTGTACCTCTGCAACAATCCCTTTTTCCTCCCTTCTCTCCTCATCCCTTACACCTCCCTGAGGTAGCACCTTCTGTGCTGCTGTGTTGCAGCAGGTACGGTGGTGGCAGGAGACACTGGTGCTGATGGCAGAAGGAGGTGGAGGTGCCTGGAGAAGCTGTGGAGCCAGCAAGCCT